TTAAGCACGTAGGCTCTCATCACATGAAGATAGGTAGTAGACGCTCTTCGCACAGTTTTGTCGTGTTATATAAATTGGTTAACTCTGTGTGGGATGCTAGTGAATTGTCAGATCGGGTTGGAATTATGATTGGAAGATACCGTACGCAAATTTTTTTTATGTGCCACTACCAACATACAACGTGTCGTACAATGACCCGTTGTTTCGTATGTGCAGGAATTATAATAAGGTTAGCTCTGAGGTAGATGTATTCCACCAATCTTTAAAATAATTTACAGCGTCTATGAGGTCTCAAAACTAGGTCCAAGATGCGTTCACTTTGCTTCTTTTTTAACTTCTCTTTTTTTTCATTTAATTTTATAAACGTGCATTTTCATTTTTAACCGACTTTAAAAAAAGGACGAGGTTCTGAATTCAACTGTATGTTTTTTTTGTATGTATGTTACGCGATAACTTCGGTATTTGTGAACCAATTTTCATGATTCTTTTTTGTTGGAAAGAGGGAACCTCCATAGTGGTCCCATTTAATTTTGAAGAAAATCATCCACCTCTAAGGGTGGTTCACGCATGAAGAGTCATTTTTATAAATTGCGCCTAAATTTTAGTATAATGAGCAATTATTTTAATGGTTGATTTTGCTATTCTTTAATTCAAGGCGTTTTTCTCTCTCAACATACTTTGAGTAGTGAGAACCGATTTTTATTATCTCCTGTGTTAAGTCCCGTCTAGTGGCGAACTAGGGGATGAATCCGGGTTTGCGCACTTTCCGGTAACCGATTTCAATAAAACTTGGTAATTATATGTAATTCCACGTACTTTTGAGGTCGGTTTTTTTAGTACTCTGTACTGAGATTATTTAACTAAATCTGTTTCATTTAAATGTTGTGCACAATTGTCATCTGTTCCAAGCTAAAGAGTGTTGTAATATTAAATTCATATTGTACATGGTTTGCGAACACTTGTTGTGTTTAAATAAATTAATAAATGAATAAACAAATAAATAAATAAGTGGTAGAACGAACAAGTCGTGCGCCTGGTGGTAAGCGACATGCTTACCTATAACAGTTGCGCTGTAATACTCCGAGCTATAAATTGCAAAGATCTGAGATGTACTGCACCCATCATACTGAGACTTAAAATTGACAAGTCCTATGTGCCTGTAATTTCACCAGCACCGTTACCATTCAAAACCGGATCACATTAATGCTCACACTACTGCTTGGCAGCAGAAATAGAAGAGGTGGCAGTACTTCCCTGGACGAACTCTTTCGCAAGGCTGCTACTAAAGCTTATGTTGATGGATTACGTCCTTAATGCTGAAATGTTACGGTCCTGCAGTTCTCCAGGATCATTACTGTTAATCGGGGACGTCATAACACTTAGCACGCAATTAGGACACGTATAAACAAAGTGTAGGTAGGGACAATGAGTTTTGAGTACATACGCCACGGCCCGGATATACATATTTCCGTCCAAACATTTGCTAAAATGTGTGTAGCGTTTGCCTTGATGTACCTTTTGGGGTTATTGGAAGTTGCCGTCTCAGGTGTGAATAAGGAATAAATTAGAACGCGACGAATGTCTCCTTGTTTATTGTTATATGAGTTGTGGTTACACAGCTATAGGACGAATGGTTATGGGATTTCAGTTTATTTTTGAGTAGTAACAATACGCTATTATTACTTTACCATGGCGCAGGTGAAAGGTGTTGGTGGTCACCACTTCGCCATGGTAGTTTGGTGGAGAATGATAGACGAGTCGTGGGTTGGTAAATGACTGATTATTATATTTTGTTTGAGCTACGTATTTATGCTGATTCACAAGGCATGATTGTTACTTTTGCTTGCACTAAGACATGCCTGAATGTCGGAAGAGGGTTAGACATTCTGGCACGTCTGTGGCTGCTACAATTACTAATGCTATAGAAATAGGTAAGGAGGCGGTACTTCCCTGGACAAACTCATGTTGTAAGTCATAAGTACATACCGTAGTTGAGAAGCACCAATGAGCGACCATTACATTGGAATTGCAGGTTATTTTACGGTCGTTTTCATGATTTATTAGGAGTTAACGATTTTAAGACTCAATGATTTTAGTATTAGATATTTAGATAGCATTTTAGTAACATTTCTGTTTCCTATTCCAGGCAGAGATGATCCCCACAGCAATTTTTCACTCCGGCTGGGAACTAACGAAATTAAGCAAGAAAATTCGACATCTCTTTATAATGACTCTTATATGCAGTCAGGTTCCAGTGTGTATGACTGCCTTCGGTATTATGGTACTGTCTTATAATAATTTTATAATGGTAAGTTTCCTTGATTGGGTTGTTATATTCAGCTCAGACCAGATTGTATGCCTAATTTCACTGGAAAGTCGGACTAAATCCTCCTCTCATTACTTTCTACAGACTAAAGGTCCGGACCTCTACCTAATAACTACAATATTTCATTCTGTGCATTCAGTCGGACAAATAATTTTTATGTTACTAAAACATTTGTAAATGTACACTACATTAATTTTTGTTCTATTTTCTTTTCGTTTCTTTTTGAATATATTTTATCATGCAGCTGTCGGTTCATAGAAGCTAGGGAGACAGCTAGTGTGGGACACAACCTGTGTGGACACTGTAGCCTCCCGTGAGCGGCGCAGATTCTGTGGCCAGAGCGTTCGAGAAAAGGCTCAAATACGCCAACCTTGTTCAGTGCTCGACTGTTGTGCCTTTTGCTGTTCAAATCCTGGAACCCTTGTGGTCACAGGCGAAACTTCTAGCAAACGAGCAGCTAGATCACCTCGTAGAAGCCTTCGGTAACCACAAGGCTGGCAGTTACTTCCGCTAAAGGATAAGTTTAGCTATTCAAAGAGGAAATGTTGCCAGCCTTCTGAGCAAGATGCACTAGAGTGCGGCCCTTGAGGAAATTTTGTACTAATAAAGTTTGTCTAGAATTATATTTTCATTAAGTGTCTTTTAAATACGTACTATGAATAATTTTGCTCGTAATACATGATTTTTTAAATGATCACAGACAAAGGAACATATAGTTACATTTTATGTTTTATCATATTATATTTATTTACACTATATTAGTATAATATAATATATTTGTTTGGCATAAGGTAATTTTTTCGTCGCAAATTCAGCTGCACTAGGGTACAAAAAAACACGCCAAAAATTGAGGTTTACAAAACACTGTGATACGTAAAAATGGTCAAAATTGATAGTAATGTATTTTTTTGTAAAAAATTTGTTGTGATTCACGACGCTATCAAGTGAGAGTTTGTATGACCAGATATTATGTGTTGAATGCGCCTTCAAAGATACTTTTGAAACAATGAAATATTGGAAAAACATTTCTTTTTTGTTTCAGGTATTGCGATCTTCTTATTCTTTCTTCGCTGTGATGTATTAAAACAAACGTAATCTGTAGTGCAACTTTTCGTGTACTTATTAATTAAAGTGATTTCTCCTCTTTGTTGTCTCTTTCAATGAATGTATTGTGTTCAATTTTCTCATTAAACATACATAATTCTCAGGAAATTAATTTATACGCCATTAGGGCACATATAAACAAAGTATTGGGACAATGAGTTTTGAGTATCCCACGGCCCGAATATACACATTTTCGCTCAAACACGTACTGAAAGGTGTGTAGTGTTTGCCTTGACGTCCCTTTTGGGGTTATTGGAAGTTTGCCGTCTCAGGAGTAAATGAGTTATAAATTAGACGGCGACGATTGTCTCCTTGTTTATTGTTATGTGAGTTGTGGTTACAGAGCTATAGGACGAATGGTTATCGTATTTCAGTTTATTTCTGAGGAGAAACAATGCTCTACTGGTACTCGTCTTTTAAGTAACGTCAATGACGTCTATAGACTGTTAAAAATATCATTGCCAACGAAAACAAAAAAACAAATTACACGTCCCGCTGTTGGACTCCACTAACTAAGTTTATATTAAAAGTATTTTAATTAAAAAGTCATATTACATAATCGAAGACTACGTGTTAGGTTAGATACGGATGTATGGAAAGACGACATAGCTCTAGATTCCAAATTTGATTCAAAGTGTATTTTCCATAGCATTTGAGTTTATTTGAAAAGAGCAACCCGTAGAGTTTCTTGCATATTGTTCTCGGGAAGTCAGCACAGTGAACGAGTACATATTTTTGCCGCCAAGCAGTAATGTTAGCATTACTGCGTTTCGGTTTAGAAGGGTAAGGATGCTGCTGAAACTACAGGCACATGGGACTTGTCAACTTATGTCTCAGGGTGACGGGTGCAGTGATTGTGCCCCTCAGAACTTTGCGTGGCACTGCAACTGTTATGGACAGGCCTATAGCTTACCATCAGGTGCACGACTTGTTCGTTCCGTTACTTGATATTATAAAAAAAAATCCTATGGAATAAATGATTATTTGACACCATTGACTTACAAATAAATGGACGACGGATCTAATACAAAAACAACGAAAAAATGTCCCAAGTCAACCTATTTAAACGTAGTGACATGTAAAGGAATATGAAAAAGCTAAAACGTTGAATTTGAATTGTAATGTCATCGCAGTACTGTCTAATTTTGCTTGCTTCGCTGTCAGTTGAACAAACGAAGACTAAAGCGTGAATGACGCTCTGTATACGATTTTAACGCCCTATAAGTTCGGACACTTTTTAGCGCGGACCCGACGTCCATATGTAATTAAGTAAGTCAATGTTTGACACGGACTAATGACAGGCCTCAAGAGGTTTATTTGATAGTTCAGACACATTTTTCAAGGGTTTTTCGGTTCATGTTTTCTTTAAGAGACGTTGATCTTTTACATTCACAAATATTACGTAGCCTGATATACAAGGCATAGGTACTATCATCGACAAAGGTAACACTATTCCTTTTCTGTGAAACCATTTTGTTTATAATAAAAATAATGATCAAGCCCCTAAACGCTATTGGTGGACAAGAATAAGCAAGCCGACGGTGGTCGCTATTGTCCGTCGTCGTCTACATTAAAAAATCAACCTTATGGTTGGAACGCGTGGAGTTTAGTGATAGTAGAAGCAACGTATAATCACAATAATAAAACCGCATGGGAGCGGTCATGGTCTTTAAGGTGCTCTTGTTTGCGGTGGCATCGTGGGTAGGTCTTTGCCTTCTTGCAGGGTGGCAATTTGAGACGGGTCAGCAAGGGCAGCTCCCTTAGCCGTCATAGATACAGGAAAATGATCCTTGAAGCCCCGTCCATGAATTTTGAAGATATTTCGATTGGCATAAATATATTTTGTTAAAATTGTACAATCGGCAAGACAAAAAGCCTATTTTTACGAAACTTTCTTGTCGTACGTTTTTTTAAACACGTCACGTGTGCTAGTTAATAAGTATATATAAATATAGTTAATAAGTCAGTCAATGATTTAAACTGCAACTATTATGGGTAGGCGTATTCCCAGCAGCACGACTTGTTCGTTCTGTCGCTTGATATCTTAAAAAACGCTGTAATATTTATTCGGGTCAATTTTAATGATAATAATCGTAAAATAATGTTATAATAAACAAGTGTCAAATATTTCACAATGAAGTTCGAGATTTGTCATATAAACACCTATATTTTATTAATCGGTAAATTGATGTTAATTGCTTTTTAAATAGAATAAGATTTTTTGAGACCTTAGTATTTTCGGTAAATTATTGTAAATTTTTGGCGCTATTACAAAAAGAATTTTTTCTTGTCATTTCTTTTACATAAACATTCAATATATTTGAAACCTACAAGTCACTGTAACATAAAAGCAAACATTGTTGCTAAAAAGCCAGCTAAGCTGCAGCATTTTTCTTGTGAACGAAATTAAGCGGTGTCACCGCTGCAAATGCAGCTTTCATAACCGCGCTCGCTTTCGTAGGAAATAAAAATTGTAATTTTCGTGCGGGAAAACTTTTAATCTTGTTTTCTCGGGCGTTATTTTTCTTAAAGAAGATATTTATGTATTTACTTATTATATATCTGTAAGCTGATGATAAGAGTGGCAATAAAATATAGCAGAAAGAATAATAGAGCGTGATGAGAAGAATAAAAGTAAATAATTCCTTTAAAAGCCATTTTGCAATTAGCTAGTAGGTAATATCGAAAGCGATCAAAGGAAACAGTCCGCTTCTCCATCGCCATGTTTGCATTGAAAACGCTCTTTGGTTGCCGCAAAGCAAAAACTAATGTTGCTTGCAAACAATCGCTACGCGGTGGCCTCGTATGTCGTAGCAGCGTTCAGAAGTGCTGTTTTGTGAGAGTTTGATTTATAGTTTGCGTGTCAGCTATGCTTTTTATGACATCAAGTGGCCGGATGTGTAACTAGTGAGCCTGATGATAAGTGACACGCCTGTAATTGTAATAAAATTGTAAACATTTGGAAACTTTTTATTTACAGAAAACAAATAGTTCACATATTTTGACTCCAGATGAGAACCTGATGGAAAGTGACGATGGGGTCGACGATAGAGCATGCACGCCTAAATAATGTCTATTCACTGTCGCCCTGAAGATGTCCAAGTTATAGCGTTCAGGGAAGATGCCTGCAGTCAAGGGATTCGAGCCGTTCGCCATATAAAAGCAGAAGCGAAACGCTTCGTGTGGACCCTTGGAATATCTTCAACATTGGAATACCAGCCAACGTGCAGTCTCCCGATGATGGAAAGGGGACGGCGGGATTAATTCGTGCAATTCTATCGCAGGCTCTCTGTGACATATCCTATACAATACCTATAAGCAGGCAACTTTACTTGATAAAAACAATATTAGTTAGAATATATTTTACACACATGTTAATTAATAAAATGTCAAATACGTTCGACAGACAATGTAAGTTGTTTCTTAAACCTTAATTTTCTTCCATAACTAACTAAAAAGCTGCAAGAAAATAGAATACACGAATGAAAATTCTAAGATGAGCGGACGGCGTTACAAGATTAGACTACGTCAAAAACATACACATCAGAGGCAGTATCTAGCAATTTTTCCGGGATTGGCCTCACTTTAAGTGGCCGCCTTTGATGGTACGGACAAGTTATAATAATAATAATAATAAAATTTTATTTATTGAGACAACTGAGATCCAATCAAATGTTAGTAGGTACAGACTTAAAACTATATTAGTACTTATATTTTACCAGGGACTGTGTATTATGTATTAAGTGCCGCATAATTGGGCACTCATTCCTGTCAGCAATTGACTTCAGGAGGCTATTGGGGCTGTCACGTATTCTCTTCAGTAGCGACGCCGACTTTTTACGTACAACAACCGTAAAACTATCTACGCGCGCGTCAGTGAACATGGCTGAGGCATTGCAGAAACGTGACAGCCCCAACAGCGTCCTAAAGGCGTTGTTGTATTGCACGCATAGAGCATTCCGAGAGCACTGAGTGTAACTCTTCCACAGAGCGCTAGTGTACATTGGTGTGCAGTAAGCTTGAAACAATATTTTCTTAACTGCTGCCGTACCTCTGGCGAACCTGCGGGCAAGCATGTTTGACGACCGCCTGATCATATGACAAGGAAAGTCCTTGACATGAGTAAACAGCCTAGGGACGTGGTAGACCCCGTCTCACATGGATATCCCTTATTAATAAAGATCTGCGAGAGCATCAGTTAAGACCACAGCTACCCAGGACAGACCGTTTTGGAGATGGGTGATCAGAAGGGCCGACCCCAAATAAATGGAAATAAGGCCAGGCAAAAGAATTTTCGTAGAAAAAAAATATGAAAAATATTATTTAACTGCCTCCGTGGCCGAAAGGGTACCATGACTGCCACGCAGAGGTAACAGGTTCGATTCCCGGGCCGGGAGAAATATTTGTACGGTCTACATTTATTTCTCTCATGAGTTTGGGTGTAATTTGTGGTTGTCTATATGTGTGTCCATGGCACCCGCGACACAGGGTTTCCCTAGTACGGGGCTATGTTGAGTGTGTGCATTATTATTATTTTAGGCATTGTTAACTTTAATTAACAATGAGTTAACTTATAATGGAACTAAAAGGCATAATTATAGTTAATTGTGAGTTTTTGTGGTATATAAGAAGCAATTATTGTAATTGAACTACATAATAAGGGCAGAATTCCATAAATTACTAAGTAAAATCCTTTGATATCAGTATTTTTAACTAGAAAAATCTCATTTTTTTTATGATTATCAAGTGGCGGGACGACCAAGTTATGTCCATAACAGTTTCAGTGCCACTCAAAGTTTTAAATCGCAAAGATCTGAGCGGCACTCCAACTGCGCCTGTCACCTTGAGACATAAGTTGACATGTCCCATATGCCTTTGATATAAGTTGTGCCTTTTGAAACAGAGAGATATAGATATTACTTACTTACTTTGCTAGCTTAGCAACCCGAAGTAGAACTTGGCATCCGAGACCAAAGCGCC